TATAGGCTTTCTTCATAGTCCAAATATCTGGAACTTCATTACATGGTTTTCAATTGTTATTTTTAATTGAAGGCATACCAACTATTATTACTGCCATAGTTATTGCCTTATACATGACTCGTGGTCCTGCTGATGCTCGTTTCCTCACTCCTGAGGAGCGTAAATTTGCTGTTGACCGTCTAAGACCTGAAGGTGGTCCTATTGATGTTGATCGTAGCACCGCAAAAGCTCAGATAAAACTCGCTTTTACTGACATCAAAGTTTACGTTTATTTAATAATGTTAATGCTTGCTACGGTCCCTTTCAATTCCCTTAATTTTTTCCTTCCAACCTTAGTTAAACAACTTGGTTATACTAATGTACAAGCTCAATTAATGGTCGTACCTCCTCTTGCTATTGCTACTATCTGGATGACCTTGAATTCTTGGGCTTCTGATAAATACCAAACAAGAGCTTTGAACTTAATGGCTGCTCATTTATTGTCGATTACTGGCTTGGTAGGATTGTTAGCAACTGATGCTACAAATCCTAATTTATATAGTTTAAGATATTTTTTCACCGTTATTTTTACTTGTGGCGCGTACTCTGTGTTACCTGTAATTTTCAGTTGGTTCTCTTGCAATATTCGTTAGTATCAACCTTAATATTAATATATATTTAATATATCTTTTTATGCATTTTGTTATTGTAAATATTTACTAATAATCTTTATCTTCAATTTTTATTTCAGTCGGTCAATATAAACGTAACATATCAATTGCAATAATATTAACCATGGCTAATTTTGGTGCCATCATTGGTGTTTTAATCTATCCAGCTACTGATGCTCCCTCATTTACTAAGGGAAATGTTATATGCTTATCCACTGTTCTTGCTCAATCTATTTTAACTATTGGAATGAAACTTTATTTGGATTTATTAAATAAGAGACGTGATTTGGCTATATTAGCAAATTATGATTATGTATATGATAATGATTTGGTGAAAAATAAAAAGAAACTTAGAGAAATTGCCATGAAATGTGTGGAAAAAGAACCGAGATTTGATGAAATTTTATGTGATAGGCATCCAAATTGGAGGTATATTACTTAAAGATTATTGCTTATTGATTACTTTTTGTTAATATTGAATAGCTCCCCTGATTCTGTTATAATCATTAAGCTAGCAATTAATATGAAACTTTATATTTATATGTTCAAAAAATGACAAGTTTTCAACACTTTGTTTTTTTTTATTATTAACATGTAATTATACAGTAATTATGTATTAATTATGTAATAATTCTGTGGTAACATTATACGTGCAGTAAAGAATGGTGTCACTGTGGTTGGTAAACCTATGGTAAACCAACAACAATTTTGAAATTAAAATCTTTTAAAGTATTGCACTACTTTATTATATATTTAATCTAAACTTGTAATAAAAAATAATAATTTAATTTTGGTATAATCGAAGAGTCGTAGATTTAAAATTGAGTTGCATCAGAATGAAATTTGGTTCTGACATGCGTCAGTGGGGTGGTCGATGCACTATGTAAATCAAAATTATATGTAGTCATATAATAAAATTTATTAATGAAGATTTTTCGACAGATGATAATTTTATAATAGTTAT